AAAAAAAAAAAAAAAAAAAAAAAAAAAATTGAGACAGCTGGGTGTCGTGGCCCATGCCTGCAATCCTAGCACTTGGGAGGCTGAGGCAGGAAGATCACCATGAATTCAAGACCAGCCTGGGCTACATAGTGACCAATGCCAGCCTCAGAAAACCAAAATAAATAAAATACAATAAAATGAAATGAAATTCTGAAGCAGGTTCCTGACAGTCCTTAAGTTATCTAGTCTGGGCTCAAATTTGCCTTCTTTCTGCCTCAGTCTCCGAGAGTGCTAGATTTACCAGTGGGTACCACCACCCCTAGCACCTTTGGTAACTTAAACACATGATTTTATGGTGGCATCTGGCCACATAAAAAGAGCTATCAAGTGGCAACCACATTTTACAGAACATTTTGCCTAAATACGAGAACTATGAAATCTAATTTTAAAAACTGTTTTTGGGGTTTTTTTTTGTACCAGGGATCAAACTCGGGACCTTGTGCTTGCAAAGCAGGCAGTGGAACCACTGAGCTCAATCTCCTACCCTTGTATTTAAAAACCTATTTTTATTTTTCTTTTTGGCACCAGGGATCGAACTTGGGACCTTGCACTTACAAGGCAGACGGCGGAACCACGGAGCTAAATCCCCAGCCCTAAAAACCTATTTTTAAAACATCCATTTGGATAATTAGTTCTGCCATCAATTCACTGACAATGAAATCAAAATGGAACTGTGGATCAAACATTTTCAGCTCTGAACTCTGAGGTAGTACAACTCTGCTCAGTAGCTTTTGTCCTCCTATCATAGGTGTTAGACAACACTGTCCTGTTCTTTGCAAGAAAGCATAAAGGCTGGGCATAGTGGCACATGCCTGTAGCATCTGGATGGCTGAGGTAGGAGGATCACTGCAAGCCCACGGCTAGCATGAACTACACAGCAAACCCTGTCTCAAAAAAAACAAAACAAAACAAAAGCCATGAAGGTAAACAGTTTGTTTCCAAAAGAATGAATTACTGTATTTTACCTAAAGTGGGAATATGAAAGATCCTGACTAAATTTAGAATATGTACCCTAGACAGTCTAGTTGAGTAAAGACACAATTTATAAGTTCAATGCTGGCTTGAACTAGTATAGTAGGCTACTAGAAATACAAAAGTTTAATTTTAAAAGTTAGTATTTGAATGAACTAATAAATTAGTATGCAAGGAACTAATCTTGTTTGTTTGGGTTTGGGTTAAAGGTTTGTTCTAGAGCTCTGCCCACATTGGGTTCAAGGACCTGCCACTATCAATACTTTTACGTTCTTGGGGAAAGGTCACACCTTGGTTCAGTTTTCCTCATTTACAAAATAACGATGCTGCTCGCCCCTAAATGATGGCCTCTTTCCAGGTTCTAAGGGTCAAAGAGAACCAACTAGTCATTTTAGCATTTCTCCAAGTCTGAGTCATATGAAAATAGAGCCACAGGGCAAGAGGGAGAAGCCAGGCCCCTAACCAATTTGTTTTATGTTCCAGCAATGACACCCTTACCAGCTGCCCCAGGGATGAAAAGGCTGAAGTATTTGCTCCCAGCAAGCACAAGAACCAAGCAGCCAGGGCATTGAACACTACACACGATTACTCTGAGCTCCACCAGGAACCTCCTCTAGTTTCTCTTGGTCAATGTCACTAAGCCCACAGCCTCCACCCTTTGTACTGCTCCCCTCCCTGGACGACCCAAGTCCCACATGTGTCTCTGACTTACCTTCGTAACAGCAGTCTGCCAACCCTGAAGGAATTCTGGTCTGTTTTTTTCTCTGGCTTCAGTCAGCAAATACTTTCTTATATTCTGGTTAAAAAGAAACCACAATACAGATGTTCTGTTCTATCGGTTGGTGAAAGATGGACCCTGCCCACAGTAGACAGAAGCAGAAGAGGTGGCTGTGACCACAAGCACAGGGCAGAGCATGCATCAAAGAGCTGGGTTACAGTAAGTTCCATTAAAGCTGGAACTTTATTCCCGAGCTTTCATTTATATGGTAAAGGAAGATTCAGATCTTTTGCATTCAAAGTATGAAACTCAGTCTGCGGACACCATTGTTTATTTTACTTAGCACATTTTGAGACAATTACCCACCTTTCCCAGCCGTAAGTCAATTTACATACTGGCAAGGCAAAAAAAGTCTGAATCACTGCCAAGGCTCAACAGAGGAAAGGAACCCATGGCAGAAATCACCAGTAACTAAAACTAAGTGAAAAGCTTTCCAGGTGTAGACAGGCTCCTTATTTTTGAAGGCAGCAGGAAAAGTGACATTTGGTTTCAGGAAATTAATTCAACCCATTCTAAACACTGAACGCAGTTAGATCCACTGTGGAAATCTCTGCCGTGATGAAGCCTGCTGGAGTTCCAAACTGTTCCTCTGCCCTCAATCTCTCTCTGTCCATATTTCTCTACATATCAAAGATGACACCAGAGGATATGTGAATTAAAAACACTCCTCCAGTAAAGATGGAACAGAATTAGCTACCTCTTTGGAAGAAAAACTATTTGGTCAAAGCAATTATTTTTGCGGAGGATGGTATTGGGGATTAAACCCAGACTCTTTACCCTGAGCCACATCTTCACCTCTCCTTTTATTCTTAGACAAGGTCTCATTAAATCAAGTTGCCCAGGCTAGGTTCATGGTAACCCTACAGCCCTGATATACAGAAGTTTTAAATTATGAAACAGACAATTTTATTGCCAGACGTGGTGGTGCATTTCTGTATTCCCAGTGCTGAGGCTTAGCAGGATTGTGAGTTTGAGGCCAGCCTGGGCTACATAATAAGACTCTGTCTCAAAAAATAAAAATTTATCTAATTGTTCCTTCAGTCTATTGGGGGACAGTAACAAAACTTTCCTTACTCAAGAACGTAGCATCTTCTATGTTTTATTCAAAATACCTTCATAATTTTGTATTTAGATGTTTATTATATCTGAAATGTTTTATAAAAAGTAAAGATATATATTTTATTTTTTCCAAATAGCTTTTCTTTTCTTTTTCTTTCTTTCTTTTTTTTTTTTTTGTACTGGGGATTGAACTCAGGCCCTTGCGCTTGTGAGGCAGGCACCAGAACCACTGAGCTAAATCCCCAGCCCTTCTTTTATTTTCTGAGACAAGGTCTCACTAGGTATTTCATGCTGCTCTCAAACTCATGGCAATCTTCCTGCCTCAGCCTCCAGAGTGCTGGGATTACAGGTATGTGCCACTATGCCCAGCTTTAAATAGCATTTTTCCCCAGTAAATGCCGATTTGTACATGAGATATTACTGAATTCTTCATGCTATCTCACCAATTTATTTGTCTATTCCAAAGCCAATATAGACATAGTTTTAATTATTAAAAAAAATGTGTAACATGGTTTGGTAACTAGTAGAGTAACTATGCTTTCCCAGTTCTAGTTCAAACCTGTTTTGGCTGTTCATGCACATGAATTCTGCAATACGAATTCTAGGAGCTATTCAAGTTCCATTCAAAATCCTGTTGGGAAATTGAATAGGATGAAAATTGGTATAAATTAATTTGAACAGAACTGATCTCTTTCCAATATTTAGTCTGCCTATTTTACCATCTATTCAGATTTCCTTTAAATGTTTCTTTTCTTCTTTTTTTCTCAGTACCACAGATCAAACTGAGGACCTTTAGTTTGTCAGGCAGGCACAGTGCCACTGAGCTACATACCCGTTTTCCTTTAAATGTTTAATTAAAACTTTAGAGTTTTTACCATAAATAATTTTCATAGTTCTTGCTAGGGGATATGCCTGTGTAGTTTATGCTTTGTTGCTTTTGTAAATGGGATCTCATGTTCTCAGTTACATTTCTATGTGGTTTTTGATGGTGCAGGAAAAATCAGGAAAGATTTTCTGGCTTTTGTATTTTACCATCTTGTTGAACTAATATCAATTTTAGCTGAACTCTAATACTGTGCTGGTTGATTTTCTTTGGTTATGATTTATTCTACTTATTTTGAAGATGCAAGCCAATCTTAGCTCTAAGAGAAATCAAGGAAAACAGTCTCTATATTCAAGAAGCAATTTTAAAAGAAACACCAAAAAAATGCTGACAAAATCATTTAGGGCATCTACATACGTTCGAGGGGAATCTGTATTGTGGAAGCCACCTCTCCCCATCTGGAGAGTTTTCTACAGTTTTTGCTGCCCCTAGTTAAGAGAGCTGTCAGGACAGAAACCTTTTTTTTTTTTTTTTTTTTTTTGGTACCAGTGATTGAATTTGGGACCCTGTACTTGCAAGGCAGTCAACGGAACCACTGAGCTAAATCCCTGGTCCTTAGGGCAGAAACTGTTCCTCTGTATCTCGACTCCTGCTGTTCTACTACAGATAAGATGGGACTTGGCCAGTCAAAAGATAAATGAGAAAACAGGTAGGATTTTAACTTACTTCTACACAAAACTTAAAATGAATGCCTTGTGAATCATAAAATGAAATAATTCGATTAGAGAGTGTCACTGTAATGAGAGACCAGTGGACTTCCAGGTGAATAGGAATCAACAGAAGACTCTTTTTAAACAAATCCACCTGATGAAGAAAAGAGAAAGAAATGCAGTTATCACCATGGAACAAGCAGTAAATGGCAGCTTCCACTGACTGAACTTTGACATGCCCAAGGTCATAAAATGGGAAGCACTGAGCCAGAATCTGCACTCAGATCTTAACTCTAAAGCCCATTCTTGTAACTACTAAGCTGTAATACATAAAAGAAAAATGAAGATACAGAAAGTACTACTTTTCATTTAATTTACTAAACTGTGTTTATCAACTGTCCAGTAAGACTTGGTCCTTTATTTTTATGCTTACCTAATTTTCTTGGGCACATTCTGACCTAGACCCCACTCTTGTCTAGGAAGAAACCACAGTATTAGAAAATAGCAAAAGGTCTACCCCTCCATCTTTCTATGGGCTGGGTATAGACATTAAGCTTACAGGTTCCAAATCAAGTCTGTTTAAATTTAAATTGTGACTCTTTGGGCCCAGGGATTTGGCTCAGTGGTGCCACCTCCTGCCTCTAAACACAAGGTCCTGAGTTCAATCCCCGGTACCAAAAATCAAACTGTGGCTCTTCTACATTGGTCAAATGACTTTGGCAATTTTGTAGCCTCTTTGGGCCTTGATTTCAACTATAAAATGCAGAAAACAATGTATCCACCTTATGAAGTTGAGAGTAATAAAATACACAAAAAAAAATCCACAGAACTGTGCTTAACACATTATAAGCAGCAAATAAATCTTAGCTACTGTCATTATTAAAACAAATAAACAAAAAACTGAAATCCAAAGCAGTTGGACATTATTTGTGTCTCTCAGATGTCCAAATTAAATACTTTATATCGATCCCTGGTACCAAAAATAAATAAATAATTGCAAGACTGCTTTAAACTATACCACATTCTTAGAACCAATTCTGCCAGTCTCCCTTCTTGCTGATATTCAGATAATGTCCTGCTATGACAATGCTTTCTTTAGCATGCAGGCTTAGAGCAAAGCACTTTAGCAGCTCTGGCCTGGGGTTGGGGGAGGTGGGCAGCTATCTGCAAGCTTTTCAGCCCCAATTATTCTTTGGGTGTTATGCACATTGGGTCTCATGCCCCATCAAGACTGAGGACATCAGGCCAAGAGTAACTCTCAGGGTCATTTTCAGGGTCTGCAGGGAGACTCAATCGCCAGTTTTCACACTGCTGGTCCAGCTCTGTGACCCTGGAGTGCTGCTTAGAAGTCTTCACACCTCCAATCACCTTGAAGTGCAGCTGCTTTGCAGACCACCCATGCTGAGACCAAATCACCCCCCACACACAGGAGTGATCACCCTGTGACCACCTGAGGCTGCTCTCCCTTCTGCTTCTCCCTTCTGCTTCTAACTCTATCTAATTAACCTTTCCATAACTCACACCGACACATCTGAAAATTCTTTTTCCCAGACATGGGTCAAGAACCTAGCTGAGCTGAGGCAAGGTCCCCATCTTCTCCTTGGGAGACCTCCCCTGGTGACATGAACAATCAGGAAACATGTTTCTCCAAGTTCCATGAGCTGCCCTAGCAAATTATGTAACTGAACCAAAGTAGGGGCTGTGGGAACTCTGATTTATAGATGTATGATCAGAAGCAGTACAGGTAAAAATAATCCCAGGCTTCAGGAGGGCTCAGGCTTGTGGGACCCAGCCCTCAATCTATGCGTCTATCTTCAAGTATACAGCATCACAACTGGCTTGAACTGCAGGGTGCATGGCTGGAGTCCAACTCAGAACTGATGAGTTGCTAGGTATGGTGGTGCAGATCTGCAATCCCAATTCTCAGGAGGCTGAGAGGATCACCATGACCAGCATGGGCTGAACTGCATAGCAAGATGCCATCTCAAAAAAAAACTGATGGCTGGCGAGAGGGGTCACAGAGTGCTCTATATTGAGAAACTGAGCTCATCTACTCCCCATTCCTTTCCCTCTCTCTTTTTTTTCTCTCCCTCCCTTTCTGTGTTTGTGGATCAAACCCAGGGCCTCAGGCTTTCCCACTGAGCTACAGTTCCAGCCCCTGAGTCTGTTTCTAGTCACTCTAATCTCTTCTATGTATCATTCCAGTCAAACTCACTTCTACTACTGGGCCTTTAAATTTGCTGTTCCTCTACCTAGAATTCTCCTCTGACCTTCAGGAGGTTGGTCCTTATCACCACTGACTGAGTTTTTAGTGAACTGTAAACTCTTCAAAGAGGCTTTTCCTTACTCTTCCCTCTACCACAGCCAGTCCACCTCCCACCTCCCCCAGCACTGCAGTCCCCATTACTTTGCCCTCTCATACCCTTGTTTTTCTCTCTTCCTTTCTGCAAATCAGATATGGGGATCAAACCCAGGGCCTAATGGGTACCAAGCAAGTGGTTTCCCACTGACCTAAAGCCCCAGGCCTATACGCTGTTCTAACATCTCTACAGCAAACAGCCCTTGGCACTCCCAGACTAGATTTTACTTACTGGCTTATTTTCTAAGTCCCAGAAGAACAAGGACTTTCTTCCTACTCCTCTATCCTCAGTGACCAGAAAAGTACTTGGCATATAAAAGAAGTCAATATTGGTAATTCAATACTTGCTTTCACATTCCTTTAACTCCACAATGCTAAAAACTCAGGAAAACAGCAGCGATACAGAAGTCACATACAATAGTCTATTTTTATTTTCTCTTCATATAGCCTATTTTTAGTTCTTACCAATAGTCACCCTTGTAACCTTAAAATTAACCAGCAACATGGCTCTGGTATGTATTATTACCTGAAATAAAAGTCTCAAGTAAAGTTCTCATAAAAAGTCTCATGTAAAGTTCACTCCAGAAGGGAGACAATAAATGTATACTGTAGCACTAGGAAAGAAAATAAAGGAAGAAAAGGGGAGGATTTTTTGTAGAGCTGGGACTGAACCAGTGCCCTGCGTATGGCAGGCACGTGCTCTGCCACAGAAAGGCATCACGAGCCCTGGCAGGTACACCATGGACAAGACAACCAAGGATGGCCTCTGAGCACATCTGAGTGGAAGCTGTGATGAAATGAGGGAGCACACATGTATCCCAGGGAGAGCATCCTCAGAAGATGGAACAGAAAGTACAAAGGGCCTTGAGACCATGGGTGGCCCCAGGAAGCTCCCCATGAGGCTAGAGCATGTGACCGAGGGAAGAATAACAGGACATAGTTTAACCTGCATTTTTTTCTTTTCTTTTCTTTTTTTTTTTGGTACTGGGCATCGAACATGGGCCTGTGCACTTGCGAAGCAGATGGCAGAACCACTGAGCCAAAATCCCCAGCCCCTAACCTACATTTTTCAATTATCAATTCCAGAAACACTTTGTCTATTGCCTTCCCTTTATAAAAAGATTATGAAATTAGTAACATACCTTTCACTCTTGATTTTGTTAACATTACATCAGTTTGGAATACTTCAAGAAACATTGACTAAAACAGCAAGGTTTATCAATAACATATTCCATGAAGCTGACTTATCAATGTATCCAGCATTTTCTTTGCTTTTTTGTTGTTGTTTTTGCTACTATAATTAGTAATTAGACGAACTTTTTTTTTTAACATATAGAACTTCTTGAAATTTCCTTGGAATTGTCAGCAGGTGAATTACCATATCAAAAAACTGAAATTCACATTTGGCAAGTAATATTATCAAAGGTGAAGTTTAGAAGAATTAGGTAATCTGCCCAAGATCTATAGCTAGTTAAGGGACCAAACTAGGACTTAAGTTTGATTCCTGAATTCATTATATCTATTTCCCCAAATTTGTACTCTTCTTAGTACATACTTTACACAAAATTATTTGTCTGACTATGTAAGACAAGAATCACTCTTAGTGTCTCCATTCCATGTAGTACAAGCCTTTTTTTTTTTTTTTTTTTCCCCAATATTGGCATCAAACCCAAGGCCTTGCACATACTAGGCCAAGTGCTCTACCTATTACTGAACTATGCCATACCCCCAGTCCTCCAATCAGATCAAAAAGCAAAAAATTACCCAGGAGTGGTGACACACCCCTGTCAGCCCAGCATTCCAAGGCAGAAAGATCAAAAGTTTCAGCCCAGCTTGAGCAATCTAGCAAGATTTTGTCTCAAAATAAGCAATAAAAAGGGGATATAGGTATAAAGGACCTGGCTTTAACCTTCATTACAAATCAATCAATCAGTGAAAAGTTACAGTATCTGTAGAACTATGACTTGAACTTAAACTTGTTGGTAATTTTGTCAAATATTAAAAATAGAATATAAATTAGCTTTTAAAACAATGCTAAGAAAAAAATGCTTTTGGCAGTCACTGAAAGTAATTTAGATCACCCTGACTTATTTTGTTTTGCAACTGAGCGATCTACATACAGTTCAAGCTGAGTGGCCCGTTCAAGTTGCATAGCAAGTCACCAGCCATGCTGCACTATGAACTCCTAGCCAATGTTCTTTCAGTTCTGCATATGCCGATCCATGAGGAGATGCAAAAGCCTCACTAGTGTCTTGTTTTCCAGACAATGAGATTTTTTTAAAAGTTACATTAAAGTTTGTTTCTAATTAACATATTCCATTAAAATTCTTATCTTTCCATCCAAAGTGGCCTATTCTCCATCTCAAATTTAGAATAAAAGAAAGAAACAATACCTTTTTAGTCCATCTCTTAACTCCATTATATCCTTTGGTTACCAGCTGTCTATGAAAAAAGCTGTTGAAGAAGTGAACCTAGAATAGACACCAAATACAAGAAACCAGATTATATTAGCCTGTGCCCACATTTAACTTCAAAAGAAAATGGAAAATGTTTAAATGTGTGAATACAAAACAGACAAAAAAGGGAGGAAAAGTTTCTTCTTAAAAATAATGATCAAAATATAGACAATACTTTACATGGTTTACAGAAGATTCTGTTCCAAATTTTCAATAGAATGACCTTATAGGTGCGGTCTACAGTCAAAACTGGAGTGGGCAGTAAGCAGATTACCTGAATCCAATCAAGTAGAGAAGCAACCTGACAAATCTCTCCAAATCAGGTGATAAAGTTGAAAGAGGCTATGAAAAAATGAGGGAAGGATTACCTTGAACTCAAGGGATATGGATTACAAAATAACCGCATCTGAAGGAGGTGGATTTGAAGATTCTTGTATCACAACTATGAAAAGGCCTTAGCACAGTCATATCTGGTACCAAGAGAATTAATTACCCTGGCTATGGGGAACATCAGGGCCTGCACCCTCAGCTTCAGTTTCCTGGCTTACAAGTGTTATCGGTTCACATGAAACAGCACACACTCTAACTCTGACAAACGTGAGATACCAAACTGTTCCTTTAGCGCTGAGGTTGTCAGGGTGTGGTAACCAGACTGGAAGAGTCAGTAACACTTGGGAACATGTTAGAAATCCAAATTCAAAAGCCCCACCCCAGATCTGCTGAAACAGAAACTCCAAGGGTGGTACCCAGCAGTCTGGTTTTCTAAACCTTCCACATGATTCTGAGGTACATTCTTTTGAGAAGCAAGCAGTTGAACATGATAAGAGCTTGTGTAGCTGTCTCTAGAGCAGTAATTCTGATGATTCTGAAGCTCAGTGTGCATCAGACTCATCTGGAAGGCCTGCTAAAAACCCAGACAGTGGGTTTTAGCACCTGAGAAGGTGCAGTTTTAACAAGCTCCCAGAGCATGTTGGTACTGCTGTCTGGGGACCACACTGTGACCCATTGATGCAGTTAAGTGTCTTTTCAGGGGCTGGAATGTAGCTTAGTGGCGCAGCATGCACCTACCATGCATGAGGCCTGGGGTTGAATTCCCAGGACTACAAATAAAGAAACAAATAACTGTTTCTCTACTATAGTCACAATACAAAAAAACATTTCCATGTTCCTGATATTTCTCTCCACCAGCAAGCAATCAGTTCTGTACTGAATGCTAAAATTAGACTTGGAATTAAATATAGACATGATGAAGGTAAAACAGACTTTTGAAGTCAATATTTTTATGCTACAATCTGTGCATGTTTAATCTTTTTGACTAAGTGCATTTGACAAAGAATCTGACAGTTTAGCCTCCTGCTTCCCGTTTAGAATGCGTAAGAGATTTGTAATTTTAAATGTAAAGTAACCAAATATTCTCTGTATTTATAAATTCTAGACTCTGTTCAAGCACTGGATATTTATTCATGGTCCTGGGGATTAAACCAAAGGTTTCTGCACTCAGCTATATTTTCACCCTTTTTTCTATTTTTTTAAAGTTTTTTTTTTTTTTTTTTTTTTTGGTACCAGGGATCGAACTCAGGTCCTTGTGCTTGCAAGGCAGGTGGCGGAACCACTGAGCTAAATCCCTGGCCCCTTTTTTCTATTTTTTATTTGGCTGGGCTTGAACTTACAATCTTGCCTCAGTCTCCCAGAGTTCTACAAAGTAATCAGAAAGTTTTTCTGCTCATTCGAGTACTTGGAAAGAAATATTACATTTAAATATAGTTTTAATAGGTAACTAAGCTCTTAAAAAAATTTTACACTTAATGGGCATTGTGTTTATATTTGAACTAAGGATCAAAGGTTTGATACTTTGAAAAAGTGAAGATAAGTATTATTTTTCTTTTTTGGGGTGGGGGAAATGGGGATTGAACCCAAAGCACTGAGCTAGATCTCTCTCCCTCTCCCTCCCTCCCTCCCTCCCTCCCTCCCTCTCTCTCCCCCTCTTTTCTCACTATGTAGTTGACACTGACCTGGAACTCACTATGTAGCCCAGGCTGGTCTCGAACTCACAGCGAGCCTCCTGCCTCAGCCTCCCAAGTGCTGGGATTACAGGTGTGCCCCACCATGTCCAGCCTACCTCTTTTATTTTAAAACAGATCTCTTAGTTCCCAAATTGCCTGGTTGGGCTGGAACCCTGCCTCAGTCTCCTAGAGTGCTGGGATCACAGGCCTCATTCAGAACACAGGCCCTATTTTACATTTTTAAATAGAGTTCAGTCTTTAAATAGTCCCTTTTGTGCATCTTTCCCCCAAAAGAGTCCCTTTAAAATAATAAACACATCTACCTAGACACAAATTAGAAAAGACTGGCACTGTGAATTTCTCAAGCAGAAGTGATTTGATAAAATTTAAACTCAACCCCAGTATATGATTAAGACATCATCTAATACTTTTTAATCTAAATACTATTAAATAATTTTATTAAAAAAAAAACAAAAACCTAAAGGCCTCTCCTAAAAAGCAAGTTTTCACTTACTTTATCTGGGACTGCATCCATTATCAGCTCGCCATACATATTAATAACCTACAAAAAAATAAAATCAGTTTACTAACCTTATACAATTAAAAATGAATTAACATTGATACTATTAACAGTAATCAAACCTTCTGGATCCTAGTATTAATCAGTGATTCACTTCAGTAAAGAATAAAGAATCTTTAACCCCCAAAGATAAACGTGAGGTCAAATTTCTACAATACCGATCAATGTTCTCTGCACCTTTTATACATTAAGAATCTGCAACAAACTGACCTGGTCATTCAGCCAGTTCTGACCATCCAGGGTGGCCAGATCATCCATATCCAGCATGTGCTTATTGTAGAAGATGCGGAAATTACATTTTTGATGTCTGGCCCGATAGTTTGTTATTTCCCTATTAATAAATGGTTTTCTGAAACAGATTTTGGAAGAAAATAGAACAAATATGAGTTCTACTCAATGTATTAAATATCTCTTTCTTCCCCTAAATTATTTTCATATGTTTAATTTAAACATCACTGACATACCTATTAGAAAAATCTTCATTAAAGACATCTTTTAATCTTGCAAGAACATCTTTTTCACTGAGTGGGACCAAACTGCCATACTTTTTCATAACTTCATCTAGGAATCCTTAAATAAAGGAAGAAGAATTAAGACAGAAAAACAAACTTTTCAGCAAAGTCACTCTCTCAATATTTAACCTATATGCAATGCTTAACAGCTTCTTATCCCTTCATTACAACATAGTATACACTTATATTAAGTAATTGTTTAAAGTTTATCCCAGCTATTCAGGAGGCTGAGATAGGAAGACTGCAAGTTCAAGGCCAGCCTGGGCACCTGAGTAAGACTCTGTCTGAAAATAACATACTAGGGATGTAGTTCAGTGGTAAAGCACTTGAGAGGTCCTGGGTTCAACCCCCAGTACCAACAAAGGGAAAAATAAAATAAAAAATAAAATGGATTAAGTCCTCACCATGCGAATGAGAGAGAAATGTTATGAGGCACCACCTTACACTGAATTTTTTAACTACTGATACAATGTTAGAGAGCTGGCTAAAACTAAAGACTGCCACGTTCCCGTAAGGGCCATTCCCTCCCTGAAAACAGCCATTTAATCTAAGTTGTGATTTCCCTAGTACACATTTGCCAAAGAGAAGGCACATCTAAACTGATATTTTTATTTATGATTTGCTGTACTTGTACAAGATTTAAAATTCTGTCTTTATTATTCATTACTTTTATTTTTGTGTTAGGTATTGAACCCAGGGCTTTCAAACATGTTAAGCACACTCTACCATGTTATAACTCCAGCCCACAAGATTTTAATGCTTATGGAGTCTTGTTTTTGACAAGGTCTCATTCTGTTGCCCAAGAGTCTCAAACAGAATCAGGCAACCAATCTTTCTGCCTCAGGCACTAGAGTGGTGGGACAGACCTACGAAAAGATGTTCAGCATCACCTATGAGGAAATTCAAGTTAAAACCAAATGTAAAATACCTGCCTCCCACTTGTTAGAACAGCTTTTACCAAAAAGACAAATGTAAATTAGTGCAGCCATTATGGAAATGGTATATAAGGCTCTTGAAAAATTAAAAAGAGTCAGGCATGATGGTGCACATCTGTGATCCCAGCCACTTGAGACACCAAGGTGAGAGGTTCACAAATTTGACTTTATCCTAGGAGACTCAACAAGACCCTGGGGGCAGGGGTATACTAAAAATTTTATTTCTATGAACACAGCCTCCATAATCAGAGCTAAAGTCTCAAAACAAAAGAACACAACCTTTGTCAACTCAGTTTCTGTCTTTTGTGGTGCTGGGGAAGCACCCTGGCCAAGATGCTTTACCACTGAGCTACACTGCTAGCCCTAGTTCGTTTGTTTGAGGTGTGGAGATCAAGTGTTAGGTCTCAAGAATTCCAGGCAAGCAGTCCGCCACTGAGCTACATGCCAAGGTCCACACAGCCCTAAGTATACTGGCAGCACTAGGGCTGAAACCCAGGGCCTTCACACTGAACTACATCCCAACCCTTTATTTTTTGAGCTAGTCAATTAATTGCCCAGACTGGGCTCAAACTTGTGATCTTCCTCCTCAGCCTCTCAAAGTGCTAGGATTACAGGTGTGCACTATGACATCTGGCTCTAAATTTTTTTTCTAGATTGATTTTTCAATGTCCTCCTGTTTCTTTCCATACTTTACTAAAATATGTAACATACCACCAACTCCACCCTTTTACACATATGATTCAGTCATGCAACCACACTAGAACCTAATTCCAGAACATTTGCACTTCTCTTAAAAATCCCGTACCCATTAGCAGTCACTTACCATTCACCTCTCTCCCCAGATCCTAGAAATAATTAATCTACCATATTTGCATCTTCTGGGCATTTGAAATTTATGAAATTTTAGGTTACGTGACTATTTGTGTCTAGTTTCTTTCACTTCTCATGTTTTCAAAATTTATCCACACTGAAGCATATACCAGTAGTATGTCCCCTTTTTTCATGGCAGAATATTCTATTATATAGATAGACCAAATTTATCCATTTGTCACTTGGACATTTAGGTTGTTTACACTTTTTGGCTATTAGGAATAATGCTGTTACAAACATTCACATATAAGTTTTTGTGTCTGCTCAGTGGCAGAACAAGTGCTTAGCACTTGTAGTGCTGGGGTGTAGTTCAGTGGCAGAACATTTATCTAGCATGCAAGAGACCCTGGGTTTCATTCCTAACACCATCCCCAAGTTTCTGTGCATTTGTTTCTATTCAAATTTTTAATCCATCTGGCAAGTACTGTGGCACAGGAACATATTCTTTTTCTTTCTAAAACAGGCAGTAATTTCTGAAACTGTAAAACTCTTCCAGTAATTTCTCTTAATCCTTAGTATGCTGTAATTTTACTGCACAAAATTTAGTGAAAGTTTGGGTATGTATATGATATATTTTTAATTCTGATTTACTCAGCCTTCCTAATTTATTGTTCTTCTATTTTCCCCTTTGCTGTGGGTGTGAGAACCCAGGGCCTACTCCATGTTAAGCAACTGCTCTACTGCTAGGCTAAGCTAAGCTCTACCTCAGTGTCAGCCTTTCTAATCTGAAGACTGACACTTTTCTCTCCAGTTCTGGAAAGTGCCCCTTGTTATTTTCTTCAGTTTCCCTTCCAACATCTCTTAGCACACCCTTGAGTTAGAAATTTAGCAGTTCTTTAAAGTGAACAAAGAACTGGGCTGGGGATTTAGCTTGATGGTGTCACCAAGTGTAAGATCCCAAATTCGATCCCCGATACTAAATAAATAAATAAAGTGAGCAAAGAACTGAACACTTGCAAAGTAATCTGAGTAGAGAATCTCAAACTTTCAGATACTACCATCAAATCTTTTATAGTTATCTTGCAAAAGCATAAACTCAGCAGTGACTGCAGCAACTCATAAGCAATTCACAAAGCATTTAACATGGCTTTTCAGGCAGTAAATTTTCTTTATACACAGCTGATCAGTTTATGATGAAATAAATACTGAGTAAAATAACAAAACTTCAATAAGTTTCTCATAAGAACTTAATATATGAATTGGCTGAAAGGCACTAACACAGTCATATGACTGAGGGCCAGCATCTGGCACACTGTTTGGGTACCACTATCCAAGTCAGCTGAGGAAGCAAGGACGATGCCAATTCCTATACTGGTTCCTCATTTTTTTTTTTTTGGTACTAGGGATCGAACATGGGTCCATTGCGCTTGTGAGTCAGGCTCCAGAACCACTGAGCTAAATCCCCAGCCCCTGGTCCTCTTCTGACTGCTTTACATGTCCTGACTACTTAGGTTTAGTTCCCTTCTTTGCTGAGCGTGTCAGCCTCTTTCAGATTGTTTGTCTCTACAGGGTAACCTGAGGAGGGTATGGGTCCTGATGGGCAGTAGCTGCTGCTCTGCCCTCCACAACTTTCCAGAGTGGGGATGCTAAGAATCTTTTAGAAAGCGTATGTTCCTTGCTCTCATTAGGTGTTCCTGGTAGGGGTCAAATGGAGTATTCTTACATTTCAACTTGATAGCAGACACCCTCTGTCTAGATGAGCTTCCTCTGCTGCGCCATATTTTGCTATGGGTCTCCTTTTCCACCCACTCTGGGAACAGGCACCTGCAGTGTTCTACCATTTTCCCGGCAGCAATCCTCCTTCAGCCCTCTAGACCTTTCCTGTACTTCTGCCTTACGGGAGCTTCCGAGCTTCTGATTCACCAAACTCTCTCCTCTGGGCCAGGGATTCGGCTCAGTGGTTTCAGTACCTGCCTCGCAAGTAGAAGGGCCCAAGTTTGATCCCTGGTACCAAAAAAAATTTTTAATTAAAAAAAGAAAACTCTCTCCTCATTGTTTTTGAGAATGGAGATACATGTGTGCTTTTAATGTATTTTTCATAATTGCTATAAATTTGGAAGAACATATTCCACGCACATACCTCTTCCTCATGAACACGGAACATGGTTTCTAACAAATATTCTTTACAAAGTGAAGGAAATTTTCTCTAATCCTAGTTTTCTAGGAGATTTAAACTTGGAAGCTGGGTTTTACTAACAAGCTTTTCAAGTACTGCACTTGCTAAGATGCCATAATTTCTCTACTTTAGCTAGAACAATGAATTACACTACAGATCACTAAATGCATATGAAGATTCCTATTTCCTGAAATCGTACTACATGACAATTCATATTTAGAAGTGTTACATCTCTAAGTGAATATTTGTGGGCAAATGTCAATTCTTTCAGGTTTAAGAGTCACGGTTCTGTTTACTTCTTAAGAAATTCATCTTTGGGCTGGGGATATAACTCAGTGGTTCCACAAAAAAATTAAAATAAAATAAAATAATTCATCTTTATTTTAGGACAATGTAAACAGAAATTATTGTAAAGATTTGCTAGCATTCTCGTTGGTGTCCTTTGTGGGGAATTTTTCACACATATTTATTTAACTATTGGAAAAGAATTGCCTACGTTGTAGAGGAAGTAACTCTCCTAACTCTTCAAAAAAAGCCAATTATGCTGGGGGTTTTTAGCTCAGTGGTTCTGCCATTTGCCTTGCAAGTGCAAGGACCCAAGTTCAATCCCCGGTACAAAAAAACAACAAAAAAAGACAATTATAAAATTATAACAATGTATTATATCTGTTCAGATACATCGTATACATATGCAAATGTACATACACGCTGATCCCATGCATTTGTGTATCTTTTTAGAGATGCTGGTACATGTTTATAATTCCAACACTCTGGGAGGCTCAGGTAGGGGGATCATAAGTTTGAGCCAAACTGGGCAACTTACCAACTCAGTGAGACCCTGTCTCAAAATAAAAAATAAAAAGGTGTAGCTTAGTGCGAAGGCCCTGGGTTACCTCCCTAGCACCAAACACACACAAAAAAGTTTTCATACCATTTTGCAACCTGCTATTTAAATTTCATACAGACATCATTCAGCATAAAAATAGAAAATATTATTTATTTTGCAGTGCTGGGGATGGAATCAGGGCCTCACACACATTAGGAACTTGGTCTACCAGTATACCACAGCCCTGAATCTTAATTCTTTTTTTCTTTCCAGTACCAGGAACTCAGGACCGTGCGTTTGCCAGGCAGTCTCGGCATTACTGAGCTACAGCCCCAGCCCCTGAATCTAAATTCTTAAACCTCTACATAGTAACCCATTTCCTGAATGTGCCATAATTCAGGCTTCAATAGATACTCTTGTTGTTTTCATGTTTTTTGTTTTAATTACAATAATACAAGTGATACAACTATACAAATATATCTGTACTCTTAAAACTAGGATAAATTTCAAGCAGGAAAATAGCTCAAAGGCTAATACTGCCAAACTTTGTACCAAGTCACTTCTTAGGGTAGACTTTGATAAAAGAAGACCTTTATTTTGAGACACGGTCTCACTATGTAGCCCAGGCTGGTCTCCTTGTGATTCTCCTACTTTAGCCTCCAGAACACTGGGATTCCAGGTATGCACCACACTACCAGACCCAGCAAAAGGCATCGTTTTGGGTTGTTTTGTCTTGTTTTTCAGTACTAGGGAATGAACCCAGAGCCTTTGCACTGAGCATTCCTGGTCAATTTTTAATTCTGATACAAGGTCTCACAATGTAATTAAATGGCCCAGGGTTAGACTCCAACTTGTGATCCTCTTGCCTCAGCCTCTCAGGTCTCTGCCACTTGGCCTGGCTAAGAGAAGGTCTTTTAACCATGATGTAAAAAATAGAAGCCTGCTGGGGTGGTGATGGGAACCTGTAATCCCAGCACCCTGGGAGGCTGAGAAAGCCACAAGTGGGAGAAGAAAGAGGACTCTTGTAAGGAGAAGGGATAGCAGATGCAGGTCAGCCGATGGGGGACAAAGGACAGTGCCTACCAGAAAGGCAGATGGACAGCTGCTCGTCATCCACGGGCACCACCTTCTGACTATTCTTGCCACTTCGAAAGGGACTCTCTAGCTTGAGCTCACTGCACACCAGAGGCGCTTCAAGTGGACTCTTACAGTATGGGTGGTCCAGAAGCTTGGAGCTGAGGATGTTCTGCTTGAGTGGCCCCTCCTCCTCCATCTCACAGTTGTCTGGCTCGGCAGCATGATGGGAAACAGGCCCATCCACGCTGCTCCCGGCTTCCTTGGCTCCAGGTGCAGGCAGCTCTACCTTGCCGTCACCCAATGCACCTGTACCATTCTCCTGACTCAGAGCCACAGTGTCTCTCTCAGTTTCTGAGGGGAACATGTTGCTTAGATGATGTTCTGACAAGGGGCACTCAGCAGTCAGCTCTGCGCACTCCCACTGAGGGGAACAAGGTGTCTGGTCCCAGGTGTCAGTGGCAGCGCCATTCTGCTGATCAGAGAATGCACTGTCTACATGAGGCTCCTTGCCCGCGCAAAGGCTCCCATTAGCACAGCCATCGGACATCGGAGAGTTCTTTCCCTTTGCCAGCACATCGCTGTCCATATCTGGAATGTGCGGCTGATACCGACAAGAGGAGTCTCTAGGCGCTGGGGAAGGGAATGGGCTGCAACTGCCACCCTCCACGTTGTCCCTAAGGGTCTCTTGATGGTCTCCAGTGACTTTCTGGACCCAGCTTCGCTGGGCTTTTCTTAGCTTACAAACTTTGCTTTTTATTCTGAAGTGCTGGGATCTGAGAATCCTATACTGAAATCTTATCATGGATAATTTCTCATACATCATAAGAGGAGACACTTTTATTCTTCGATATTGGTTAAGTTGGACTTTTCTTGGAATCAGGAGTCCCCCATTCCTGTGGCACTCCAGCCCTTGGTAGAAGCCATAACAAAAGCGTTTTCTTTTATGGTTGCTCAAAGTGACCACAATCTTGCCACTCTCTCCTGGACTCTGGCTCTCCCCACTGAACGTCATGGGAAAGTCATGTGGTGCTGTCCTAGGTCTGTGACCGTTGGCCTGACCTAAAACACTATTTGCTGGCAAGCCAGCTACCGCCTTCAAGAGAGTCTTCTCTCCGCAGGATTCATGGTCTGAGTTTTTTACTGAGGACAGTGACTTCTCTGCATGGAGTCTCAGGAGGTCCCTTGAGGAAGAAATGAAGTACTGAGTATTCTTTCTTTCCACTTTAGAGGACACAGTGCTAGCATTCGGAGTAGCCACACCGGACTTAGTCTTTGCACACAGGGTTTCATCTTGGATCCATGTTTTTTGAATTGCAAGAGCCTTTTTTCTACACTGGAAATACCCCAACTGTCTGTTCCAAGTAACTGGCCTTCCTAACTTAGCTTTCAGAATGCACAAGTGTTGGTGAAAATAGAATTTCTTAAACCCTACAAATCTTGTATTCCATTTCTCAGAGAAGGCAAAGTGAATTCCTTTCCTCCATAGGCTTTTCCTCTGTTTTCTCATTTTTCTGATGCATAATGAGATCTGGATGTAGCTACAAAGAAAAGTTACATATCAATCTAAACAAAGTTATGAAGTCATTCGCAGCAGTTGAGGTAGAAAACTAATAAAAGCACATACACGTCAGAATAGACTATGGGACATAATGAAACCTCACCTGATCAAGGTTTTCATCAAAATGAAAATTATGGAAGAGGAAAGAATGAGCACTCTAACAAGACCCTACTTGCTGTACAACTGGCTTGGATAGAAAAAAGTTAAATAAAAAGAAAGAAAGAAAGAAAAAAAAACCTGGATGGTTGTGGTGGTGCACGCCTGTAATCCTAGCATTCAGGAGGCTGAGGCAGGAGGACAGCCACAAGTTCGAAGCCAGCTTGGGCTACATACAGTAGTGAGCTACAGGCCAGCCTAAATTACACAGCCACATCTTGTCTCAAAAAACAAAAGGCAGGGGCCGGAGATTTAGGTCAGTGCTCCCACCACCTGCCTTGAAAGCTCAAGGTCCCGAGTTCAATCCTCAGTACCAAAAACAAAAAAGGAAAAGAGGGTGCTGGTAATATAGCCCACTTTTAGGCTCAGGGTTCAATCCCCAGTACAGGAAAAAAAAGTTTCAAGAATCATTTCCCAGTATGTAATAAATTTCTTTTCCTCCCCTCTCCCCTTTTTGAAGTACTTGAAGTTGAACCCAGTCCCGTGTGTGTGCCAGGTAAGCAATCTACCAATGAACTACATCTCCAATCCTTTTTATTTGATTTTGACACATGATTTTGCTAAGTAAGCTAAGCTGGCTTCAAACTTGCCATCCTTCTGCCCCAGCCTCTCAAGGAGCTAGAATGCAGGTATGTACCACCATGCTCACCTGTAGTCAAGTTTCTGGTAGAGGATTCAGGGCAGGGAGTTAGAAAAGAGCTCTAGCTGGGCAGGGTGGCGCACACCTGTAATCCCAGCACTCAGGAGGCTGAGGCAGGAGGAGCACTGTGAGTTCGAGACCAGTCTGGGCTACACAGTGAGTTCCTGGTCAATCTCAACTACATAGTGAAACTCTGTCTCAAAAAAAAAGGAAAGGAGCTCTAAGTGTGGCTTTACTTTGCCTTAGCTATGTAACTTGCAGTCAGCTGCACTCGGTTCTCATTTGTCCAATGAAAGATAGGGAGAGGACAAGGGAATGATTCTATATTCACTTAGTTATAACTTGCTCCCCAGCAAAACTACTTTTTTCAGACAGGGTCTCACTATGTAGTTGAGACTGACCTGGAACTCACTATGCAGCCCAGGCTGGTCTCAAATTCACAGTGATCCTCCTGCCTCAGCCTCCCAAGTGCTGGGATTACAGGAGTGTGCCACCATTCCCTGAAAAGCTACTTTTTCACAGAGCAGATTTGTTTAAAGCACAGCACAGGCACCTTAGCTCTATGAAGGCATGCATGGGTAGGTAAGTAACTCGTGGCATTGGTGCCTCTTCCGTGGCAGTGAGCCAGTGACTACAAAGGGCAGACTCTGGCAGGCACTCTCAGTCATTCTGGCTCTCAGGTGAATATAAGGAACAAGAAGCAGCAGAGCACAACCTTCAGGAACAGTGATAGATGGGAATGAAAAGACAAAGCCAAATATGATTTCCCTTCAGAATTTAGTAAGACCTAATGCAAGGAGTGATTAGATAATATGGTAACATTTACATTTAAGGGTTTTATTTGTGGGCTTTTTTTTTTTTTTTGAGATAGGGGCTCGCTCTGTAGTTCAGGCTGGCTCTGAACTCACTATGTAGCTCAGGCTGGCCTCGAACTCATGGCAATCCTCCAGCCTCAGCCTCCCAAGTGCTGGGATTACAGGTGCATGCCAACACACCCAGCTGATTTGGTTTTGTTTGTGATGCTGGAAATTGAACTCAAGGCCTTATGCATAGCAGACAAGTGCTCTACCACTGAACTACACCACCATCCTGAAGGTATATATTTTGTTTTAAAAAAAGGAGGCCGGGGATTTAGCTCAGTGGTTCTGACGCCTGCCTTGCAAGCACAACTTCCTAAGTTCAAGCCCCGGTATTGAAAAAAAGAGAGAATAAAAAAGAACTTATTGGGCCAAGGATTTAGCTCAGCCTACCTCACAAGTGCAAGGTCCTGAGTTGATCTCTGGTACAAAAAAAAAAAAAAAAAAAAAAAAA